TTGGTATTGGAATACAGGAGATGTTATCTGTGGAAATCCGTAATATGTGGATGAATGGAGAGAACTTAAAACAAATTATGTATTCGAGTTTTCTCATTAAGAACCAACACTTGTTGTTATTATTAAAACTAATTTAGATGAAATTCCATATAATGTATATATTTATGTAATATATAAAGGAATCATGGGGATTTAGAAATTTTATAGTTGAAGTAATGTTATGCTCACCAGGCTGTTTAAAATGTAAGAATGATACACCTGATGAATGCTGGTATTATGAATTAATTCAGATGAATTGGTTTGAAAATTTTAATTTTGATGGATGGAATCTTGATAATTTATAGTTTCTAGCAAAGAGCTAATGTGTTAATATTTGGGTAATAGGAGGGGTTGGTTAAATTCCATAAAGTAAATAATTATCAAAGTAATATTCTTCTTTGATTTCACATTATAAAGTATTATTGGAAGTTCAGTTATGGAAGTTTGATATTTGGAATAATAATTAATTTTAATTAGAAATTGATGGAGAAATTAGTGCATAAGCAAATTTTAATCAATTTGAGTTCATTCATTTGTGTGGTGATAGTAATGGAGGTGAAAAGCTATTAAATATTCGCGTGGAATAGAATCACATATCTGATAGTATGCAAATTAAGATGAAATCAAATATTGTTTCATCAAATGGATCTTGGGGATTACGAGCTTTTAGATTATTTTTAGCCAAATGCTATGATTCATGTCTTGCCTGTTCTGGACCAAATAAAAATGAGTGTTCAGCATGCAAATCTGGATATATATTATAAAATTAAGAGTGTGTAGATGGTATTTACTTACAGTTATTTTTTAGTAAAATGGATGTTGGGTTTAAAAAAATATTTCTAACCTTTAGATTTTCAAACTTAATCTGGATGGACTATATAAAATATTTATAATAATCAATCCCCATTTTCAATATGTGCTAATTCTAATCTATTAGGAGGGTTCCCCTTATTAGGTAAAGATGCTTCAATAGCCTTAACTTTTGATCTTCCTAAACATAAAAAAATAAGAGTCAAATTAGAATTTTGGAAATTTGATACTTGGGATAACGAATGGTTTATAGTGTTTGCAGATGGAATTCAAGTTTATTAAGTATAATTTGGTCTAAATGGAGTGCAAGTAAATTGTGGATCATCTAATCCTAATGCTTACTTCAAAAATTTAGATTTTGAATTTCTACATGATTAGCCATCTATCAATTTGGTTTTGAAAAGTACTTTAGATGAAATTGCAGAAAATGAATCTTGGGGAATCAGAAATTTTTAATTATTATATGGAGTTACAAATGAATGCAGTTACTCTATCATTGATTCTGCTAACATGCCTTCTTTCTTAGGAACTAGGTATACAGTATCATCAACATATTCATTTGATCAGTCTTTATAAAATAAAATAGAAATATTTGAACTTGCAATCTCTCTTTAAGATAATTTTGATCAAACAATAAATGTTGATTCTACAATTAAAAAATTGTCAATTTCAATCATCCGCAACTGTTTTTAAACTGATTTAACATTTTAAATTTCAATTTTACAAAGCAGTTATCCAGATTACAGAAAATAAACAGCAATCTGCAGATAAAAACGATCCAATATATTACATTCTTTGTTGGTTTTGGAAAGAACTATAAAACAAGAATCATAAATTAGATTATAAGCAACTTCAACATTCTTTTAAATATTTTAAATAGTTGAAAGTTAAACTATAAAACTCTATGAAATGGCAATAGAATGATATAATTTCGTATTATTAACATTAAAATAACACATTTTTTTTATGTTCTTTACAAGCAATAATATTTGATTCTATAAATATTAATCATCGTTTTTTATAATAAATGTTCCTTAATTCTATAAATCATAATCATATTTATTATTTTTTTTTGATTATTACTTTCCATAACTTTTTAAAAAGGAAATATTTTGATGACGATACCTATCAGTTTCCTTTAAATCCAAACTTATAAATTTACAAATTTTTTTTCTTATAATGGTTGATGATCTGTGGAAATAATTATACATACTTCATAATTTATATATATTAAAATTTAATGTTATTTGTATTTCAAAATCATGTTTTTTTAGCAAGTTTTTTACTAAAAACGCCTGATGGACTTTCTCTTGACACTTTACAAACTTGTCCATATCTTCTTGATGATATCAATTTCAAAGAATAATTATTTTTAATTATCTCACTAAAAACTACTATTAAGTAATTTGATAATCTTTCTAAAAAGTATTAATTTTTCTTCTATATAATGATTACTTACTAACATTATAAAATAATTAGATATTGAATATTAAAAAAATGTTGCTTTAATTCTAAAATTGAAAAGTTGTACTAATTATTTTTTTTCTTATGAAGGTGGCTTCTATAGTTAATTTAAATTTTGAATAATTGAAAGTAGTACTTTTAGTCGATAAAGGATTAAAAAATATAGAATCAATGAATACAACTGATATAATAAATCATTTCTTTCAGATAAATTAGCCTCTCTACCAGTTTTAGTAAGCAAAATCCATTTTTCTATCTACTTAGTAATTATTATTCACAATACATAAATTTTTATATAGTTAGATATATTTAAATAATATTTCAACAATAATATTATTTTTATAGCACAAAAAAATTCTCTGCAGGCATCCCAACATTATTCATAGTGGAGNTGCTAACATGCCTTCTTTCTTAGGAACTAGGTATACAGTATCATCAACATATTCATTTGATCAGTCTTTATAAAATAAAATAGAAATATTTGAACTTGCAATCTCTCTTTAAGATAATTTTGATCAAACAATAAATGTTGATTCTACAATTAAAAAATTGTCAATTTCAATCATCCGCAACTGTTTTTAAACTGATTTAACATTTTAAATTTCAATTTTACAAAGCAGTTATCCAGATTACAGAAAATAAACAGCAATCTGCAGATAAAAACGATCCAATATATTACATTCTTTGTTGGTTTTGGAAAGAACTATAAAACAAGAATCATAAATTAGATTATAAGCAACTTCAACATTCTTTTAAATATTTTAAATAGTTGAAAGTTAAACTATAAAACTCTATGAAATGGCAATAGAATGATATAATTTCGTATTATTAACATTAAAATAACACATTTTTTTTATGTTCTTTACAAGCAATAATATTTGATTCTATAAATATTAATCATCGTTTTTTATAATAAATGTTCCTTAATTCTATAAATCATAATCATATTTATTATTTTTTTTTGATTATTACTTTCCATAACTTTTTAAAAAGGAAATATTTTGATGACGATACCTATCAGTTTCCTTTAAATCCAAACTTATAAATTTACAAATTTTTTTTCTTATAATGGTTGATGATCTGTGGAAATAATTATACATACTTCATAATTTATATATATTAAAATTTAATGTTATTTTAAAGTCTTTGAATTTTATTAAATATATTATAACTATATCAACTTTTAAATATATTTACTTGAACAATAGAATTTTAAAAGTTGGATCAACTTTAGTCAACAATACAAAGGAGAATGGATGCTATTTTTCAATGAAGAACAATATGTTGACAGCCAAGTCATGTAGATTTACTAGGCTTTTAATAGAAGTTTTACAATCAATTTTGTCAATTTATGTTTCATAAGATTAAAAGAATGCAGAATATTATCTAAACTGGAGTAAGGGACTCTGCATCTGTCCATTTTTAAAAGTCTCTATGGCCTGTATAAATGCCTTAGGCTTTTATTACAATCACCAAACATTTACTAGCCTTGTGAGATTATTTGGGCCGTTAGCATTCAACATTAAATGACATATACATTAAAATAAGATATCCAATCATAAACCATTTATGGAAATTTCAACTTGCCTTAATTTCAGCTGCTAGAAGACAAAGTCTAGATAGGCCTAATACTGAAGAACATGAAGCCAATGAAGGAAAGGGATTAAACTTAGTTTAAGCTAATGGCTTTAACCATACAAAATTAATTGAGAGAAGGACATTAATTGGTGAAACTTTATAGTACCTCCCTTCAAGAATGAGACTAGAAACTTGGAGTAAAACTGTTGTGTTCTGTGTTATCCTCTTCCCTCATTATCATACTTGAAGAATGCATACTACCAATGATATTATAATTTCTCTATTAATTTGTTATATGTTCCTCTTCAATTTCATCACATTATTATTTAAATTATCGCCTTAATAATGTTAAATTATTATATACAGCTTTAATCTAAGGAAAATTATTGAAATAACCTTGCATCACAATGTTATTAATATAATTAAATTGAATAGATTGTTATTTTTTTATTTAAGAATAATTGAATCATTATTATCAATATTTTTAAGCGCTTTTCATACATTAAAATATCCATTCTAAGATAAATAAATTAATATTAGTAAATTTTCTGATAAAAATTATTTGGGTATGTTTCCTTCTTCTTGATCCTCTTATTTAAAAAAATCCCAATTAAGGCTATTCATTTCGACTTATTTATATATAATTAAAAAACTTATTCAAAAGCGATTCACAAATTACTTAAGTTAAACTTCACTTATACCATGACTTTAATAGATTAAAGTTAAAAAGTTTAATCATTAAATTATGGTTTTAAATTGAAAAGATTTAATCTTACATTAATATTCAGCATAGCAGCTATTTTATTGTATAGGATGTATATTACTAAATCATAATTATCTAAGGATGTAAATAAAATTTATAATCAAAAATTACTAAGTTAATTTTTTTTAGATCGTATAATTACCAAGAAAGAAGAGTTTTAATGCTTCTCCACTCAAAGTATTAGTGCATAATTTAAAAATAAATTTTTCGATTATGTAATAAAATTTTGCATCAATTTCTTAATTTGTTTTGTCGAAATTCCTAACTAGTTTTAATTTTCTATTTATTCCATCTAATAATATAGCATATACGCATATGATTAAAAAAAAATTCATATTTTTAGAAAATGAATTCAAAAAAAAATAATCATGCTCTTCAAAAGTCAATAATTTGGAAATAATCAAATAAATGGGATTAAGAGAAATATAAAAGAGTGAAAGAGTCAATTCAAATCAGAATAAAGAAAAATAATGAAATCGTTTACTCAACTTCTGATGGAGAAATTCTAAGAATGTAAACCTTAATTAATAAATAAAATAGAGAAAAACCTTAAGAATATTTAATCAATCATTTCTTATTCAATAATAAGGATTAGATCAAAAATCTACTATGGTTTTGTGAATATAGATAAAGCAATAGATAATATTAAAAATGGAGTGCTACTTGGGGTGGAGAAGTTTTAAGAGGAGTTGGTGGATACATAAATAATGGATTAAAAGAAGGGTCATGGAAGGAATTAATTTAAAATTATTCAAGGTTAATAATTAGTTATTTCTTATAAATATAGTTAAGTTATAGTATATCAAATTGGACAATACCTAAATGATAAAAAAAAAGGAATATGGGAATTTATGTATAAGAATAATAAGATGTATTTTTATTTATTAAATAATTTAGTGGTAGTGGATTATACAATGAATAAGGCTAGAAGCATTGTAAATGGAGAGAGTTGAGTCATGACTTTTCGGATTAATCTTAAATTACTTTAAAAGGTGAATACAAAAACGGCAAAAAGATTGGGAGATGGGATGTTTTTTATGGAGAGTTTGAACTGATGTAAATATTAGAAAATAATCTTATTTTATTAGTGGTGGAGGATCGTATGATGAAATAGGTAATAGCACAAAGATTGGCCATTGGATTGAGTTGAGAGATGATTTTTGGAATTAATCATAAGTCATTTTTATTGGTGAATATAAGAATAGTTAAAAATTAGGAAGATGGAATATTTTGTATAGATAAATAAATAAACAAAATTTTAAATAGATGTAAAATATTAAATATAATCCATTCTTAGTGGAGGAGGATGTTTTTCTGAAAGTAAAGGTTTGAAAGAAGGATAATGGACTGAATTGAGTGATGGATTTTGGTACGATTAATAAATCACCATTAAAGGAGTATACAAAAAAGGCAAAAAAGTTGGGAAATGGAATATTTGGTATCATAATCGAGACACTAATAAGAATGATTAGATGTAGAAAATTAAGTTCACAGTTTTAGTGGAGGAGGTTCTTATGATGAAAGAGGTGATGGTATTAAAATCGGAAAATGGATTGAGTTAAGTGATGGGTTTTGGATTGGAGCATAAATAACTTTTTAAGGTGAATATAAAAATGGATAAAGATATGGTTATTGGGATATTTTATATAAAAATAAATAGATGTATACTGTTTAAATTAAAAAATTTTAGAGGTGGTGGATTATATAGTTAAGGAGGTAACGAAATTAAAGTTGGAAAATGGATTGAATTATATGAGGAGTTTTATGATGATTTATAAATCACTTATAATGGTATTTATAAATTTGGAAAAAAAGTTGGAAGATGGAATATTTTATTTAGAAAAATTGATAAATTTCAATTAATGTAAACAAATAAGAAATTTATCAAATTTATAGTGGTGGTGGATCATATTAGATAGGAGGCAATGAAAATAAAGTTGGAAAATGGATTGAGTTGAGTAATGAGTTTAAAATACATTCGTAAATCACCTATATAGGTGAATATAAAAATAGTAAAAAAATTGGTTATTGGGATATTTATTGGTATTGGTTAGGAAACATAAAGATGTATTGCATTAAAATTATGTAATTGTAAGTGGTGGTGGGTCATATGATGAAGATGGTAATGGAACGAAAATTGGGAAATGGATTGAGTAAAGCGATAATTTTAGAGATTATTCATAAGTCACTTTTAGTGGTGATTACAAAAATGGTTCAAAAATTGGTAGATGGAATATTTTATTTAAGAGGTAGATTATGGAATTAATGTAAAATATTAATGTAATGCAAATTATTAGTGGAGGTGGGTAATATTCTTTTGAAGGAGATGGTGTAAAGAATGGAAGGTGGACTGAAATAAATTTCAATTTTTCTGTGGATTTATAACTTACACATATTGGAGAATATAAAAATGGCAAAAAAATTGGTTAATGGGATATTTGTTATAGGGATCGTAGAATAAATAAATTTGAAAAAATGTTAGTATAAAAATTTAGAAAATTTTAGTGGTGGTGGATTATATTTATAAGGAGGGGATGGGTAAAAGGTTGGAATATGGATTGAATTGAGTGATTAATTTAAGCAATATGAGCAAATTTCGTATGCAGGGGAATATAATAAAAACGGTAAAAAGGTAGGTAGATGGGATATTTGGTATAAGGATTCTGAGACAAAATATAATGAATAGATGTATTATATTAAAATAAAAAAGTGGAGGTGGATATTACGATTAAGAAGGTTAGGGCGTTAAAATTGGAAGTTGGATTGAGTTATGCGAAGGATTTAAGAAAAGTTAGTTGTTTTCAAAAGAAATCACTTATAATGGTGAATATATAAAAGATAGAAAGGTAGGCAGATGGGATATTATGTATCGAGAGTGGAATAAAGAAAGTTTTCATTAAATGTATATAAATAATAATATTCCAAATTTAGTGGTTATGGATATTATGATGAAAGAGGAGATGGAATTAAAATAGGAAAATGGATGGAGTTGAGTTATTGGTTTTATGTTGATAGGTAAATAACTTATATTGGAGAATACAAAAACGGCAAAAAAATTGGTATATGGCTTGAATTTGATATAAAAAAGAATGAGATAATTAAGGAGATGAAATATGATGATTGAATTAGAATAAAATTGAATTAAATTCTTTTCATGAATTATATAAAGACATCTTTATTCATGATATAATCTTATGTTAATCTTGAACCAATATTCTTGAAATAACAGGCATTTTTTGTTCTCTAAAAATTTATAGAGGCACAAGTCGATGAAATTAAATTAATCGATTGCTAGAGAAAAGCTTGTATAAGCAATAATTTCTAAATACGAAATTTAAAATGACCAATTTTTTTTTGAACTATCTGAATTTTATAAGAAATCATATTTCTAGAGAAAAGTATTTATTTTTTAGTATAACCTATAATTCAATTACTTTAAATGACTTAACTAATTGGCACGCATTCCTACTAATATTATTCCACAATGATAATCTATTATCATTTTGATATTTGTCCATTCTAATTAATTAATTTTCACTAATATCTAAAATTATTATTACTTTCTGATTGTTTTCATATTTCCATCTTGATAGTACAATTTTTTCAATTTGAATTATTTATTTATACTATCCACTAATAACTAATAGATTTCAGCATTTTCATAAATTTTTCATTTCAATTTATACAGAATCAAAGTATTAATGTGATTTCTGTTTATTGTTTTCTTTTCAATAATTTAAATTCTTATATGTTTTTAATCTAATAAGTTATGTTATATCAGACATAATAATAGAACAATTATAATATTCATAATTTTTGGAGAAAAATGTAAAATTAATTATGCTTAGTTAATAATTAGTCAAATTAATATAGCTCATTAGAAATCTTTTTTAATGTATAATTTTTAATACTATTTTATAAGTTGGAATAAATAAATTTAAACTTTTGATGTTAGGAGTCGTGTGAAGAAATATTTGAATTATTAATACTTTAAATAATCTTCCTAGTTAGGGA